CTACCTACCTACCTACCTGCCGGCCTACCTACCTACCTACCTACCTACCTACCTACCTACCTACCTACCTACCTACCCACCCTACCATACCTTCCTGACCTGGCCGTGTATTAAACTCTTGGCACATGTGCATCTAGTCACCATGGCATTATTTTCTGTGCTAGTTCTTTTAATTTCTATCACGACAGGCATGAATGTGCATGCATCTGTATGCATGTACTTGTGTCGCTGTGTCTGTCCATCCACCTGCCTGCCTGCCTGTATGTATGTATGTAGAGAGAGAGAGAGAGAGAGAGAACGAGAGAGCGGTGTGTGTGTGTGTGTGCGCGTGTGTGTGTGTGTGTGTGTATGCGTGTGCGTGTGCGTGTCGCTTTGCAAGCATAACAACAAACTCCGGGTACTTACTTGGACACTGCCCGATTCCATCCCAAATCAGAAGCTCTTCATTTCGATCTACAGGACCCTAGAATTAGCACCATGTTGGGTTAGCCTCGTTTATGGTTAGGGTTTTATACCTGAGACACCAAGGTAACCAAGGAGGGGTACTCACCTACACTTAGTTAGGATCTGTAGTGTTTCGGGGAGAACTTTTCGCATCCCGGGCCTCTTGAGCAGCAGCATGGGCAAGCTTGTACAAGAGCCCGTCTTGACCGCAGGGCCCCTGTAGCGCAGGGATTTAAGCTTTAGGGCTTTAGGGTGCATCGGGTCTGTCTCGGACCAAGAAAACATCTCACATAGTGAGTTACTACCTGTGGATGCAATGACCTAATATACTACTGTATGGGGCCAAAAGAACTTGCCCTACCTGATTCGGTCATTATTTGGGCTTCTTGGGAGATGTGCTGCATGCCGGTATGACAACCTTTCTACAATCCGTCGTCGGATTTTCTACTCCTGTAAACTTCGAGGCAAGGGGCTGAGATGTTGGGTTCAGTCTTCATGGGGAATACCGTAGACTCAATATGCACGGCGTCGCAACCCCAAGCCGTGCAGTCTGGACCCAACCACTTCATCATGACTCTGCCCCAAAATTCTCCCCCAAACCCTAAACCCTCTAGATTCTAGATTCGGGTCCCTAAACCCTGACCCTAAACATCCCGAACTAGATTCGGGTTGATTTCTACTGGTCCTTCTGAGCAGCCCCCAGCTCCTATCCTGAATCGCATCTGTGCTGATAGCTTGAGGTGAAAGGTGAGGGCTCCTTTAGCGGTTCCTTTGAGGGCTCCTTTAAGGGTTCCTGTAAGGGCTCCTTTAAGGGTTCCTTTGAGAGCGCGTTGTTGGGGTATCCAGGACGAAAGTTCCGCATCCTATCTTGACCCGCTAAAAAACATAAGCTTCTGAAACTAACTGGCGAAGCCTGAGCCCCAGGCCCTAAATGCAACGCAACGCGAAGCTCTCAAGCAAACCCGAGAGCGGCAAATCCTAAACCTCAAGCACTTACAGTACCTGTAGATGTAAACACCCGGAAAGACGTCAAGTTAAAGGGTAATTACAAAAAATCAAGCCCCAATAGGGAGCCGTTGAAAGGGAAGCTTGAGCCACTAAACCCCAAAAGAAGCCTGCCCGAAACCGTTCTCGGCCTTTACCAGACCCCCAAGGCCTGCGCACTGTTAGGCGGATTCCAGGATACTTCCCTTAATCATCATAATAACTCCTAAGGTAATATAGACACCCTATAATTTACTATCTCGGTACATATAGGAACCCCTAAAAAGAACCCAAAAACCCTAAAATAACCCTTAAGGGAACCCTTAAAGGTACATGGGACCCTTTACCCGATGAGGGCAGCCTCCAGTCGGGTCTTTGCTTGTTCCTCCGCGACTGCAACGACCTGTCTTACGTAGGGTTTAGAGTTTCAGGGCTTAGGGTTTAGGGGTTTAGGCGGTTTAGGGTTTAGGGGTTTAGGGGTTAGGAATTTTGGGTTTAGGGGTTTAGGTCTTATGCACGGTTTATCAGGACCCCAGGTACCGCTAATGAAGCCCTTATATGGTCCTCAATAAAGGGTATGTGGTGCATCACAGAGTGTAGATGGGGGGTATTAGTACGGTTTAGGGTTTAGGGCCTCGGGTCATAGATTTCAGGGCCTTGGGTTTTGGGTTTGGGGTAGGGCTCGTGGTGAATACCTTCTTGTCACCTTTACGGGCTTCATAGATGGGTTTGTTCGGACTTAGAATGAAGCTATCTCTCCAGAATGCTGTTGACTGCTGAAACGGTAATGACTGGATGAAGAGGGCGCATTACCACATAACTTCACATAGCTGATCAATCTCCTCTACAACTTCGCACTTGGTTTGCCGGCATGAATCAAAAGCCTGCCTGCAGGATGCCTGCAGCTTAGGGTACCCTAAATCCTAAGCCGTAGGAGTTTTCTTGAGGTTCTGGAGCAAGGCTTCAAGGCTGGGGCTAACGGGATCCAACAGTCCAATCCTCGTCTAGGTCCCCATGCAAACACCCACCTACCGTACTGCGATCCTAACCCAAATACCTAAGCATTGGGTCCGCTAGGCCCTTGGCCCTTAGCCTTAGCGGTTGATGGTCCAATACGCAATGAACAGCACTCTTGCCTGGAAGCTCTTGTTACAGCAACCCTAAACCCTGAACCCTATTCCCAGACCCCTGAGATCACCTTGAAAATGGAACCTCAACCCGACCTCCTCCCCAAGAAGGAAAGGCATCTTCTCATTGGGAAAGGCTGCAGTTGAAGCGGGGCACTTTTTCTAAGATTCCACTTAGTTGGGATCGTTGAAAGCCTCAGTGATGCCCTAGCGTTTTAAAAACCCGAAGGGTCCATGTGCTCACAGAGTATATAATGTGGCCCCAAAAGGGGAATACTTCAGAGACAAAGTATCCAATACAGGGGCCTTAATAATGGGAATAGGTTTTTGGGGCCCATTATATTATGCTTTTCATATGATAAGGAACCTCAAAATAGTATTGGTAATTATCCAGGCCACTGGGGCACTTGGACCCTTAGGGTTAGCCTAGCAGATGCTCCTCGTAGCCCTGCCGCTGACTCCTCAACCCGCGACATACAGGAAACTCTCCTTAATATAGGGGCCTAAAAAATACCATTTTGGAGGTTCCTTATTATAAATATCGTATAATGGACCCCAAACCCTGTTCTAATTATTAAGGCCCCTGCATTACACTATCACACCAACCAACAGGCCACACCCGCCCTAGGACTCAACCTTAAACCCTTAGACCATAAACCCTAAACCCTAAATCCTAGTTTGGGGTTTGGGTTTCTCGGGAGTTCCCGCTCCTTCGGTTCAGGGTTTAGGGTGGTGAACTTAGTCCTTCTAGGGCTTAGGATATAAGGGTTTAGGGCTTAGGGTGCTAATTATATACACCCTCAACCATAAACCTCAATTTTCTGGACTCTCCTGAGTAATGGTTAGAAAAAACCGCATGTGAGCAAGTCAAACCGGGTTTAGCGCTTAGGGTTTAGGGTTTAGGCCCTAAACCCTCAACCCTACACCCCTAAACCGTAGTTTGTTTAGGGCACCCATGTCAGCGAAGGTACATCCGCCGCCGTCAGAGTGCCCAGCTCTTCCGCGCTCCTCTTAACTAAAGGAAACTACAGGTGGGGAGTTCAGGGTATATAGGGCTTCTATAAGGCTTCCATAAGGTATATGACCCTCTATGAGGCTCCTATAACGGACACTACCCACCTGAAAATGTCCTAGACTTAACAGAAAGTCGGAACATGGGTGAGGCATGAGTACCCTATACGGCTTTGCAGAACCCAATAATCCTAAGAAGCCCTATAATCCGTAAACCCTAGCCTATAAACCCTAAAACCCGAACCTATAAACCCTAAAGCCCTAGCCCCATATTCGTTTTGATATATTTAAGGATTTAAGGGTTTGAGGGTTTAGGGCTAAAGGCCATTCTCCGAGACCAGGGCCTGTGGCGAAGGGATTTGGGCATGCTCAGGTTTATTCGGACCTCGCAGCTGCAATTTTTGAAAAACAGGAAAACTGTATCATAGTTTTGCTAACAGGCGCACAGTAGATATTTACGACCGGAGTGTTCCACTTCATGTTGAGCTTCTGAACTGCACTTCTGCCTTCTGCGGTCATGCTTGAGGGCTTGCAACCTAGAGGGTCCAAATATAGTATATACTAGTGTGGGATTGTCCCCGAACCAATAATCAGGATGGCCGATTGGGACCGAATTCCATAATGGTAGTATACAGGGGCCCTTTGGGCAGAATGCCTTTGTTCGTTTTCGTAACCCCTAAGCATTGGCAAAAGACAGGCCAGAACTCACTAGAACCGACAACTCGCAAACAAATTGAAACCGAAACCTGCACACAACACACTCAATGACCCAAAACAGTGCCAAACCCTAAACTCTAAACCCCAAACCCTGAACCCTAAAACCTAAGTAGTCCCAAACCCCCAAAGTCCCAAACTCCAAGACCTAACGCTAACCCTCCAGGTGCCTACTATAGGGGGTACTAGAGCCCCTAGGGCCCTGTATACTAGGTACCTGGAGGTTTAGGGTAAGGCCTGAACTCTGAAAAGAAGCCCGAAACTCTAAACCCAAAGCCCTAAACCCTAAACCCTAAACCCTAAATCCTAAACTCTAAACCCTAAACCCTAAGCCCTAAAGCTTAAACCCTAAACCCTAAACCCGTCGGAGCTTCCGGCCTACCCTTGCCACGAACGACTCGACGTGCCATGGCACGTTGAAGGGCCTTTGGCATTCGGTTTTGGGTTGGGATAGGGGACTGGGGTTTAGGGTTTAGGGTTTAGGGGTTCAGGGTTTATGGGTTTAGGGTTCAGGGGTTTTGGGTCAGGGTTTTGGGGCATTCCGTGTGTGTTCAGGCTTCAGTGTCTACAGTTAACCTGTTAATTCGTGGTTTAGGGTTTAGGGTGGGGTTTAGATGTCAGAGTTGGCCAATCAGGAGCTCAAGGTGGGCGGCATCGCGTTGGCATAAACCCTCAGTCTCTGAACCCGAAAACACCGTGCTGAAACCTACACCTACATGGGGTCGGTTGATCTGATTTAAAGGTTGAGGTAGGGATCCTTTTGGCGTCAAGCGCGAAAACTCTGAGCTGTTTGGGGATACGGTTTATGTTTTATTGAACAAGGCAGTACAACTTGTGAAGTTCGGGGAGGGTACATGGTACCTTCACCAGCAGGTCAGGGAGAGTCCGGGTGAGGACGCGATCTGCTTAGGACAGCCGAGCCCTGATCCTGCTGGTTCATGCAGTCCAGACAGAAGGATGCTAGCACCTCAGCCCCACGAGAAAGTCCTCTCTACCCTGAACCCTAAACCCTCTAACTCGATGTTTTGTGTCTTCTTCCGTGCGAACTCACAGTGTCGACACTCTCAACCTGTAGAACCCTGCACTAAGTAGACAAGTAATAATAACCACCTATACTAGTTTAGGGGCTCCTTATTAAAATCATAGTATAATATACCCCAAAACCCTGTTCTACTTATTAAGGACCCTATAGTAGAGGTGTTTTTAGGACAAGCGAAGTTAGAGTTCATGTAGCTCACAACATGACAACTAGAACCCACTCGCAGCTGTGTCCTCCGAGTCTGCAAAAAGAGCCCTCAACCCTAAGAAAACATGCCTAAACCCTAGGCCTTAAACCCTAAACCTTCTATGCTTTGTCAAATCCCCTTCCTAAGCCCCCTAAACCCTAAAGCCCAAAGCCGAAAGCTCAATGCTACTATCTTGCAAGCAAGATTGTCGGAGATTTGAGATTTGGGGTTTTGGGCTTTGGGTTCTAGAGTTTGAGGCTGTAGGGTTTTACCCTAAAGCCCTAAAGTCCATGAAGACACGACGGATGCTCGTTTAAGGCTGCAGGGCTTCAGCATCTTTCGTTGCGACACAGGCTTCGGTTCTGGAGTGGGCTCCAAAAAGTGTCCTCGTGTTGGTGAAACGGCTCCTTGTTTGAGGTGGGCGTCTGGCGATTTTCTACCACATTATATAGGGTTGAGGGTTTAGAGGCTTGAGGGGTTTTAGGGTTTAGGGTTCAGGGTTTCAGGAGACCCTCCCAAAGGAAGAGCATTGCTACTTGGGGGTTTCCGAAAATAAGGAAACTCTAATAGAGTACCCTAAATAGTAGGATCCTTATTACAAGGACCCAAAAAAAAGGTACCCGTGTTTTCGGAACCTCCTACTTACTCCGGTTGCAAAGCCCTGCCTCGACGACGTTTCGAACAGTGCGGCCGTTGCCGTTGTCCCTGGATGGGTGGCAGTCGGCATCTGCAACGTTGTTGCCTGGGTGTCATGTCGGACATCGAGCACTTAGAGGCCCAGGGGACTTAGTAACTCGGTAGGGTTCTAATTGGGGCAACTCCATTTAGGGTACTTGTAACCTACTCATAACCTACTTACTAAGTCCCCTGGGCCTCCAAGCAGGGTTTTCTTGGCGGGAGAGGGGAGGACTCGAAGCTTTGGGGGCTTCGGGTGGGGTGTTGTGGTTAGCTGTATGTGCGTGCCGTCACGTCGAGGGATTCCAAACCGCAATGCAGCCCCTAGTCGCCTACAGCCTACTCGATGAATGAAATCTCTCGCGCAATTCTGATCCCCTGAACCGGTTAGACTCTAAGTGCTAGGTCCTAGCCCCTGTATCCTAAATGCAGATCGAGCCCCAAACCTGAACGTCCCATACCATACTGTAAATTAAACCCTTTTAAGTTCTTAGACTTTGATCTCTGAAAGTCTTTCAAAACCCGGAACCTCAAAACCCTACTACTCTAAGCTCTAAACCCGAGTGCCCTCGCTTAGGGGCCGGAGTGGCAAGGAATGGGATATTTTGTACTGCATTCTACAAGGAATCAGCGTGGTCATGATTCAGGCACAATTTCCAAAACCCTGACCCAAACCCCCTTGGCCTCTAAACCCTAAAACATCCTGAACCCTAAACCATCCTAAGCCCCACAACCCCACAACCCTAAACCCACCCCTGAAGCCCTAAACCCCACAACCCCACAACCCTAAACCCTAAACCCCTCAACCCCTAAACCCCTAAACCCCACAACCCTAAACCCCTCAACCCTAAACCCCACAACCCTAACCCCCAAAACCCTAAACCCCTGAAGCCCAAAATCCCCAAACCCCTAAACCCCCAAAACCCCAAACTCCTGAAGCCCAAAATCCCCAAACCCCTAACCCCCAAAAACCCTAAACCCCTGAAGCCCTAAACCCCCACAACCCTAACCCCCAAGACCCCAAACCCCTGAAGCCCAAAATCCCCAAACCCCTAACCCCCAAAGCCCCAAACCCTCCCTGCCAAAGTGCAGCAGCCGCTGGCAAAGGAGATGAGGTCCACGAACTGAGTGCCGACCTTGGGTTTCTTGGGCTTTAGGGTTCCTTTAACGAGTACTATACGGATCCTAGGGTTCCTGTAAAGGGTACTATAGGGATCCTAGGGTTTAGGGTTTCTTGAGCTTTAGGGTCTTTAAGGGTTAGGGGTTTAGGCTTTTTTGGGTTCAGAGTTTGGGGGTTAAGGGGGTTTAGAGTTTAGGGTCGAGGGTTTAGGGTTTAGAGTTTGGGGTTTAGTTTTGTTTTTAAAGGTTCATTGTTTAAGGGTTCACGGGCTTCGGGAATTAGGGTTTGGGGGTTCAGGGCTTCAGGCTTTGGTGGTTTATGGGTTTTGGGGGAGCTTCTGTCAAGGCTGCTGGGGCTTAAGGCTTGGGACTGGGAAGAAGGAGCTAAATGGGTCACTTGGGTTCTACAGTCATAAATAAGTGTGTGGTTGTAGATGTGTTCATAGTCTATATGGTGCAGGATTTAGTTCGGTTGAAAGGTTCTTTGAAGTCTCTAGATCTACACCAAGTGGGTCCGGGGTAAATGCCCCTACTGTTGCTTTAAGGATTGAACGGGATGCTATAGGGTTTGTATTTAGGGCTGCGGGGCTGGAAAAGCCATATTCTCTATGTGGTAGGTTACTGGGCCATGGGTTCTGTAAGGTTTAGATTAAATGATGTTGGAGCCCAATGTATAGGCAACTGGCTCCTGCGGTATTTGTGTAGATAGAGAGTGTGTTTGCTGCAGTGGGGTTGAAAAGACATCAAGGTCCTTCATGACTCTCATTCCCCTTCAGCTTAACCTAAACCCTCAACCCTAAGCCCTAAACCCTCTCCACCCTCCACCCATAATCTTCAACCCTAGCTCCCAAAATATTTTGAACAGGCTTCTACCCGCGATTTCCTGGTGCAGGCCAGTGGCTGCTCTGAAAGGGAAACTTCGGGCTTAGGGGTTTAGGGATGCTTCTGTGGGGGGGGGGATGTTTAGGATTTAGGCCTTGAGCTTCTACGCCTGGCCCTGAGAGTTTGGAAACGCAACGCAAAACAAAACTCCCAAACGCTGTGGAGCAGCATGTGCGGTGTTCGAGCCCAAACAAAGATTAAACATGTGGGCACTCCCGAAAACCTAACGCCTCAACCCCTAAACCAAGCCCTTAGTAAGTCCAAGAAGCTTGCGGCGGCACGGCAAGGCCCTGAGAAGAAAGGACCTGCTCATGACTACAACCTACCTATAGAGCTCTTTTGTTAAAACAGTTTTATATTTAGGATCCTACAAAGGTGACCCAGAAAAGGAACTACAACGGAGGTTTAATGAGTTGTGGCGCTAAACCCTATTCAACCACTAAACCCTTGCTACAACCTCTGGCTTCTGGCTTGCAGCAGACTAAGATCGCCAATATATGAACGATTAGGATAAGTTTGTACTGGCCCCTCCAAAACATTGGTCCCTTCAGATCAACAGCCTGCATAGGATCAGGGGTATATGATACTTTGCATACACAATATTCACAAAGGATTCCAGGGAGCCCAAATGTTCTTGGCTCCTTCGGAAGCCAGAAGGAAATTCCTGTGCATAGACTCCAGAACGATTCATTGAACAATGCGGCTCGTACGCTGTCGCGAGTTTCAGGGGATAGTTCCGCTGAACACTAATCGCAAATCAGTTTTACAGGTTGCCTGGATCAGGAAAACATCTCTGGGGCTCTGATTCTGACGCAGTGTCTATTCCTAAATTCTCTGAAACCCCTTCTGGCCTGTAGCCTGTAGCCCAAAAGACCAAAGCTTTTAGACTTCTTTGTGATTTCTTGTTAGTTTTATATGTAATTCAATAAACACACGGAAGTCTTCTGGCTAGAGGTAAGGTTTTGTGAAAGGAGCACCAGACATTGCAGAACCACCCATTTACATCACGAGGCCTGATGTTGGGACCTTCATCACCTGAATGGGATATTGGGGTCTACTATGCTATACAGGCAGCATCAGGGACCACGAGGGAAATTCTTATTCCCAGCCCTGATATAATACCCGAAACACCGTTAAACCCTTGACCCTAAACTAGTACCCGAAGCTGTTGAAACACACGGTTAACGGAACCCTAAACCCTAAACCCTAAACCCCTAAACCCTAAACCCCTAAACCCCTAAACCCTAAACCCCTAAACCCCTAAACCCTAAACCCTAAACCCCTAAAACCTAACCCTTCAGTTAACGGAACCCTAAACCCTAAACCTGCGGATGCAAGCGGCAAGGTTGCCAATCTGGCCAAGCTCGCTGCAGCTGTAATCCTGTCGAGTTTAGAGCTTGGGTTTAGGGTTTAGGGTTTAGGGTTTAGGGTTTAGGGTTTTGGGTTTAGGGTTTAGGGTTAAGGCTCAGGGTTTGCAGGGATTTACAAGGGTTGAGGGGTTCAGGGGGTTCAGAGTTTAGGATATAAGGGTTAAGGGTGCAACCCCACAGCATTTAGAATCTAGGACTTCAGGTTCCGGGTTTACCCTAAGGGTCCATGTACCCAAATAGTACATACATTGGCCCCAAAGTACCTACATAGGGACTACATTAAAGCCAAAGTAGATACTAATTTGGGTACATGGAATTTTAGGGTTATGAAAGCATCCAAGATAATATAGGGGTCCTAAGAATTCGAACAGGGTTCTGGGGCCCATTATACTGTAATTATGATGAGGAACCCCAAAACCCTGTTCTAATTATCCTTAGGGTTATATAGGGTTTAGAGTTTAGGGTTCACGGGAACAGGCCGGGATGTAGTTGGCAGGTTCCCACGTCGGGTGATTGCGAGTGCCTCCTTTCAGTACTGTTCTGTAAAGCAGACCCGCAGTTTAGGGTTTAGGGTTTAGGGGTTTAGGGGTTTAGGGTTTAGGGTTTAGGGGTTTAGGGGTTTAGGGTTTGGGGGTTTAGGGGTTCAGGGTTTGGGGTTTAGGGTTTAGGGTTTCAGGTTTAGGGGTTGGGGTTTAGGGGTTTAGGGGTTTAGGGGTTTAGGGGTTTAGGGTTTAGGGTCCGTATTAATTCGGCAG